GTTCTACTAGACTTAGTACCTGGACAACGAAATAATCTGTACAACTAATCGCCATGACACAAGTTTACCTATATAACAAACCTACACATGTACCATTCAACCTAAAATAAAACTTTAAAAAATAAAAATAAAATTAAAAAATAATATAAAGACAAAGATCTGTAATAATTTCTAGATCTGCACTGTCAGGTACAGTGGCCACTAGTTACATGTGGCTATTTAAATTAAAATTAAATAAAATTAAAATTCATTCTCTCAGTTACACCAGCCACTTTTCAAGGCTCAAAAGCCACATATGGCTAGTGGGTTCCTTATTGGACAGTGAAGACATAGCGCATTTCCATCACTGCAGAGATTCAATTCAACAGCATTGTGTTAAATGTAGAAAAAGAATATTGAATTAACAATTCTACTTTTCTCATCACAATTGAATGCAGTTGTCATCAAATACTGTGGTCATAAACCTCCTAAAAAGAATTTTAAAGAATTTAAAAGAAGAAAAAACTTATAGGACTCACCCCACCTGATTTAAGACTTATAACAGTAATCAAAATGGTATTATTGAAAGAATAGGCCTACAAAATAATGGGATGTAATGAAGAGTGCAAAAGTAGATCCATACAAATATGGCCAAATGATTTTGGCAGAAGTAGAGAAGCAATTCAACAGTACTTAACAATTGAGCATTTATGTGCAAAAAAATGAAACTCATTCTGTAGTTTATATTTTATATAAAGACTAACTCAAAATATATTATAACCTAAATAAAATGTTAAACTATAAACCTTTTGGACAAATACACAGAAGAAAAATCTTTGTGTCTTTGGATTAGGCAAAGAATTCTTAGATATGAGACCAAAACTATAATCCATAAAAGAAAAACATTAATAAATTGAGTTACATCATTTCTTAAAATTTGCTCCATGAAAGACTGTTAAGAGATGTAAATGACAAATCACAGATGGGGAGAAAATATTTGCAGATCACTTTTTTGGCAAAGGACTTGTATCAGAATATAGAGAAATGTATAAACATAACAGTAAACAACCCAAGTTTTGAAATGGGCAAATAATTTGAACATTCATTTCACCAAGGAAAGGAGATTTATGGATAGCAAATAAACAAGTGAAGAGAAGTCTCACATAATTAGATGTTAGGAAATTTCAAGTTAAAAACAATACGCATTAAAAAAAATACTATTGCTGGGCGCGGTGGCTCAAGCCTGTAATCCCAGCACTTTGGGAGGCCGAGGCAGGTGGATCATGAGGTCGAGAGATCGAGACCATCCTGGTCAACATGGTGAAACCCCGTCTCTACTAAAAATACAAAAAATTAGCTGGGCATGGTGGCTCATGCCTGTAATCCCAGCTACTCAGGAGGCTGAGGCAGGAGAATTGCCTGAACCCAGGAGGCGGAGGTTGAGGTGAGCCGAGATCGCGCCATTGCACTCCAGCCTGGGTAACAAGAGCGAAACTCCGTCTCAAAATAAATAAATAAATAAATACTATTAAGAACAAACACACACACACACACACACAAATACTATTATTCACATACATTTTTAAGTTGACATAAATATTTCATCTTAAGTTTTGACAGTTACAGCAAAAGATCTAATTTCCATGTTATGTTTCCATTTTAAAATAAAATTAGGTAGGGCACAGTGGCTCACGCCTGTAATCCCAGCACTCCGAGAGGCCAAGGTGGGTGGCTTGAACACAGGAGTTTGAAACCAGCCTGGCCAACACTGTGAAACCCTGTCTCCACAAAAAAATTTAAAAGTTAGCTGGGTATGGTGACATGCGCCTGTAGTCCCAGCTACTGAGGAGCTAAGGTGGGAGAATCACCTGAGTCCCAGAGGTTGAAGCTCCAGTGAGCCTTGAACTCATGCCATGCACTCTGTCTGGGCGACAAATCAAAATTCTGTCTCAATAATAATAATAATAATGATACCACTCCCAAATGTATTTACTGGAATGGCTGTTTGATATCTATCATCTCAAATTTAAGAAAACATTCCCCTTCTCCCACAAAGTTTTTTTTTTTTAATTTCAGTCACCCAGCTAATTTTCCCCCACAAAGTTATCTTAGTATATCCTCATGCTGAAAGGTTTGCCTTGTCACATTTCTCTGCCATAAAAATGTGTATTAATTTGCATTGTTTAAAAATTATCAGTGAAGTTTTTTTTGTTTTGTTTTGAGAGTCTTCATCTGTCACCCAGGAGGATGGAGTGCAGACACACAATCTTGGCTGACTGCAAACTCTGCCTCCTGGGTACAAGTGATTCTCCTGCCTCAGCCTCCTGAGTAACCAGGATTGCAGGCTTCAGCCACTACACCAGCTAATTTTTGCATTTTCAGTACAGACAGGGTTTCACCATGTTGGCCAGGCTAGTCTCAAACTCCTGACCTCAGTGACCCACTTCCTTCAGCTTCCCAAAGTGCTGGCATTACAGGCATAAACCATCCTGCCCGACTTTTTTTTGGAGATGGAGTCTTGCTCTGTTGCCCAGGTTGAAGTGCAGTGGTGCTATCTCGGTGCACACTGCAACCTCTGTCTCCCAGCTTCAAGCAATTCTCCCTGCCTCAGCCTCCCAAGTAGCTGGAATTATAGGCATGTGCCACCATGCTCGGCTAATTTTTGTATTTTTAATAAAGACAGGATTTGACCATGTTGGCCAGACTGGTCTCGAACTCCTGAACTCAGGTGATCCACCCACCTCAGCCTCCCAAAGTACTGGGATTATAGGCTTGAACCACCACACCCAGCTGAGGATTCTTAAAAATTAAAAAAATGTTCTGACAGTTACCATATCACAATACAACTGAGTATAACAAACATATACTTTGAAATACTAAACACTAAAAATAAAATTTTATTTAAAATATCTTAATGAGATTAATACTTTAAAAAATTAGATTATGTATCATGCATAAATATTGCTCATTGCTGGGATGACTCAGAGTTCAATGGAAACACATGGCAAAAAGTTTATCAAGCAAGTGTGGGACTTAAAAAATATGTATTAAGGCCAGGCACAGTGGTTCACACCTGTAATCCCAGCACTTTGGGAAGCTAAGATGGGTGGATCACGAGGTCAGGAGATTGAGACCATCCTAGCAAACATGGTGAAACTCTGTCTCTACTAAAAATACAAAAAAATTAGCTGGGTGTGGTGGCGTGTGCTTATAGTCCCAGCTACTCGGGAGGCTGAGGCAGAATCATTTGAACTCAGGAGGTGGAGGTTGCAATAAGCCGAGATCGAAGCACCACTGCACTCCAGCCCAGCAACAGACTGAGACTCGGTCTCAAAAAAAAGTGGTAGGAATACCGCTGTTTGAAGGCCACTGGTTTAAAGAATATTCTTTTTTTTTTTTTTTTTTTTTTTTGAGACGGAGTTTCGCTCTTGTTACCCAGGCTGGAGTGCAATGGCGCGATCTCGGCTCACTGCAACCTCTGCCTCCTGGGTTCAGGCAATTCTCCTGCCTCAGCCTCCTGAGTAGCTGGGATTACAGGCATGTGCCACCATGCCCAGCTACTTTTTTGTATTTTTAGTAGAGACAGGGTTTCACCATACTGACCAGGATGGTCTCGATCTCTTGACCTCATGATCCACCCGCCTCGGCCTCCCAAAGTGCTGGGATTACAGGCTTGAGCCACCGCGCCCGGCCAAGAATATTCTTAAAAGACTGTTCTACAGAGTGTCACATCAACAGAACTACTTGCATTTGGTAGTCTAAAACAAACATACAAGTTTTAATGAATTCTGCACTATACTGCAGTACAACTGAGCTGACATACCAAAGTGGTTTTCTTTGAGTCATAAACTCAACTGCTACCAGGAAAAGGAAAACATCTAAATGTGGAAGCACGTTGGGTGTAAGATAACAGAGCATGATAAAAGCACATCATTTGAAAAACACTCGGTTATTTGTTAATACCACAAGGCAAACAAAAACATATCTGGGGATGAAACTGCAAAACCTACTAGTGTTAAAATTTTACTTCTCTCAATCATTTGGCTTGCAAAACATATTCAACAGATTCAAATTCAATAAATATTTACAAAGAACCTGCTAGGTAGAAGGCATATATTATTAGAATGAGACAATGCCTACTAAATGTTATTGCTGCCAGGCTAGTGGCTCATGCCTGTAATCCCAGCACTTTGGGAGGCCAAGACGGGCGTATCATGAGGTTAGGAGTTTGAGACCAGCCTGACCAACATGGTGAAACCCCATCTCTTCTAAAAATACAAAAATTAGCTGGGCGTGCTGGCACGTGTCTGTAATCCCAGCTACTCAGGAAGCTAAGACAGGAGAATCACTTGAACCCAGGAGGCAGAGGTTGCAGTGAGCCGAGATCATGGCACTCTAGCCTGGGCAACAGAGTGAGACTCCATCTCCAAAAGAAAAAAAAAAGTTATTGTTGACACACCAAGTACATTAACATAAAGTTGCCTCATTATACATTAGATGTGATTTCAGCAGAGATTAAAATTATACCCAAATTACAGATCAAATCTATATCCCTGACTTACTACATAAAAAGAAAAACATATTTACTTCAGGTGTAAAGAATATTTTATTTCAATACTTCAGTATTGAAATCAGCTATCACACATATCCACCAACTGATAATTCATTGTCCATCTCTCAGGAGATATTCAAAGTGAGATTAATGTGATGAAGCATTCTCAGCAAACCTAAAACACTGTACTTCATCTTCAAATTTAAGTCAGGTCCTTTAATAAGTTACTTCCTAGTCATTATTTTATAGTATTTATGAAATAGTGCAATACATCAATGAGGTATCATTTAAGAGGCGAATACTCTATAGATTTGTATTTGTCATCCCAATTCCTTGACATTCAATAATATAAGTATCTTTAGAAGCATCTTCTTCATCTTCTGATTTCTTCACAATAAATTTAGCCTGAAATCAGAAGAGTATATAAGCAATACGAAGACAGATGAAGGAAAGAGCCCACAATTCCAACTTATGTAGGCAGAGTTAATGTCAAGCCCATTTTATTGAAAAACCTACAGAGACACAAAAGATCAAATGATTCCTGAGAAATTCAATAGCCTAAAGACAACGCATTTTGTTGCACAACCATGGTTCTTGTTCAGAGGTATATACCTGTCCGGTTTTGTCCAAATATATAATTAGAAAGCTCAGACGTCCAGCTTAGGTAAATATCCATTTTGAAACCTCAACTGGTAATGATAATGCAACTGTATTCCCTATGCCCTAAAATTTTTCTAAAATGTTTCTACTTTTATCTTGTCAAGTAACAAATTACCCTTTAATTTCTTTACATTTTTTCTTGCAAATTTAATTCCCTAAATATATTGTTCAAAAGATCCATTTCATAGAAGGTATTTGAGGAGGAGGTATGGTGGTGATTAACATCTTCCTTCATCTTTAATGTAATGGGTTTAACAGCACATTTTTAAATTGGTAACTAAAGTTGGCCTAAAATATTTTGTCTGTATCATTGTATTCTGGTTATTTTTTGCTGTTGTTTTTGAGACAGGCTCTTGCTCTGGCACCCAGACTGCAGTGCAGTGGCGTGAACATTGCTCACTGCAGCCTCAACTTCCTGGGTTCAAGAGATCCTCCTGCCTTAGCCTCCAGTGTAGCCAGGAACACAGGCACACCTCACCATGCCTGACTAATTTTTTATTTTGTTGTAGAGACAGGGTCTCACTTTGCTGCCCAGGTCTCAAACTCCTAGGCTGAAGTGATCCTCTGGCATCAGCCTCCCAAAGTGCTGGAATTACAGGCATGGGCCATTGTGCCTGGCCTATAACACTTATTTTGAAAACATGATTTTTAAAGCAAATGTGATTCATTTTAACAAAGCTAAATTTAGTATCAAAACAACTAGCCAGGTGCAGTGGTGCACATCTATAATCCCAGCTAATCTGAGGTGGATCACCTGAACTCAGGTCAGGAGGCCAGCCTGGGCAACACAGGAAGACTCCCCACAATTCCCATCAACACCTTAAAAAAAAGTCAAAACAATCAATTAGGTTGATTGAGTTTGTGGCAAAGGAATTTCAAATATGCCTAACATCTTAGGATTCTTAGAAGTACAATTTGGAAACCATCACTCTGGGGTCTTACTGAATGAATAGTAATATACAAAAATTATTTCACTTTCAGCATTACAGCAGTGGTAATTTCTGACACACAGTGAACATTTGAAATTACTGTTGAATGAATAAATGCTGAATTCTGAGCTAGATAACCAAATTATTTAAGTGTGTATATATATATATATATATATATATGCATTTATATATTTTTCAAATTAAAAACATTATATAAATATGAAACACAAGTAACAGCTATGAAAATCATTTCTAGCCTATACATAAGCCTACTTAAAACTACAAGTATGTAGACCTGAAAGGATCATAGCAGGCCTATCTAGCTTAATTCTCATTTTACAGATAACTATCTACATTGAGACAAAGAAAGATAAGAAACTTGTCCCAACTCACCCAGTTATACACAGCAAAGCTAAGTAAGATATGAGCTATACACTCAGGTTCACAGCACTTTCCATCATGTATACATTTCAAATAACAAATAAATATCTACTCTATGTAAAGTACCGTAAAAAGTGAAGAATATAATGAATGAAACTTGATCTCTGCTATTAAGGAGATCAATCTATAAGGAGAGACAGATAAGTAATAGTTATAAATACAGAATAAGTAGAATAACAACAAAAAAAAACAGAGCTAACACATCAAATATATTTGCCTTTAATTCCCATCAGTCTTTCCTACAATTTAACAAAAACTTATCTATGCTTCTTTTTTTTTTTTGAGACAGAGTTTCGCTCTTGTTACCCAGGCTGGAGTGCAATGGCGCGATCTCGGCTCACCGCAACCTCCGCCTCCTGGGTTCAGGCAATTCTCCTGCCTCAACCTCCTGAGTAGCTGGGATTACAGACACGCGCCACCATGCCCAGCTAATTTTTTGTATTTTTAGTAGAGACAGGGTTTCACTATGTTGATCGGGATGGTCTCGATCTCTTGACCTCGTGATCCATCCGCCTCAGCCTCCCAAAGTGCTGGGATTACAGGCATGAGCCACCGCACCCGGCCTTCTATGCTTCTTAATAACAATAAAATTATATATTATTAAGAATCAAACTGGGTGCAGTAGTTTACAGCTGTAATAACAGCACTTTGGGAAGCTGAGGTGGGAGGATCACTTGAGCCCAGGAGTTCAGGACCAGCCTGGGCAACAGAGGGAGAGCCTGTCTCTCAAAAAAAAAAAAAATTAGCAGGGCATGGTAGTTCACATCTGCAGTCCTAGCTAATTGAGAGGCTAAGGTGAAAGCATCACGTGAGCCCAGGAGTTCAAGACTATAGTTAGCTATGATACTGCCACTACAATCCAGCCTGGGCAACAGAGCAAGACCCTGTCTCTTAAAAGGAGAGAAAAAAAAACGGCCAGGAGTTTGAGACCAGCCTAGCCAACATAGTGAAACCCTGTCTCCGCTAAAAAAAACACAAAAATTAGCCAGACATGGTGGCAAACACCTGTAATCCCAGCTACTCTGGAAGTTGAGTCATAAGAATTGCTTGAACTTGAGAGGTGGAGGTTGCTGTGAGCCAAGATCGTGCCACTGCACTCCAACCTGGGCTAACAGAGCAAGACTCTATCTTAAGAAAAAAGAAACAGAAAAAGAATCATATCAATAGGTACAGGGAAGCAACAGTGGTTTTGTGTTTGGGACACTTCCGTAATGCTTGATTTTTAAAAATTAGTATATATTACTTTTGTCATTTTTTTAAAAATGCTTAAGATTAGGCTGGACATGCTGGCCAGCACTTTGGGAGATCAAGGTGGGATGATCGCTTGAGCCCAAGAGTTTATAGACCAGCTTAGGGAATGTGGCAAGACCCCATCTCTACAAAACATCAAAAAACTAGCCAGATGTGGTGGCACACACCTGTAGTACCAGCTATGTGGGAGGCTGAGGTGGGAGGATCACTTGAAAGCCCAGGAGGTTTGTGCCACTGCACTCCAACCTGGGCAACAGTGCAAGATCCTGTCTCAAAAATAGTAATTAAAATGTTTAAGATTAGCACCTTCCCTCATAAAATTGAATTATACATTTTATATTTTTTTATAAAATTACATTATAAAGAAAAAGCAGCCGGGCACGGTGGCTGACGCCTGTAATCCCAGCACTTTGGGAGGCCGAGGCGGGTGGATCACAAGGTCAAGAGATCGAGACCATCCTGGTCAATATGGTGAAACCCCGTCTCTACTAAAAATACAAAAAATTAGCTGGGCACTGTGGCACGTGCCTGTAATCCCAGCTACTCAGGAGGCTGAGGCAGGAGAATTGCCTGAACCCAGGAGGCGGAGGTTGCGGTGAGCCGAGATCGCGCCATTGCACTCCAGCCTGGGTAACAAGAGCGAAACTCCGTCTCAAAAAAAAACCAAAAAAAAAACTGTGTGTCAACTCTACTATATATCAGAGGACTGATGAATATTCAACAAATATTCTATTCTACCAATAGAATCAAGAAAATAAAATGTCTAAAATTTTATATAAATATATTTTATAGCCAACTATGAATCCCTTGTGATTTGATACCATAGTTTACAACAAAACATCTTTACTTACTCTGTAAGGCAGTACCACAGTGATTATAACATGGGCTTTGAAGTATGCTTTCCCAGATTTGCTCAAAGCCCAGCTCTGTCACTAAAAATCCATGTGGCCTTGAACAATTTAACGAATCTCTCTGCCTCATTTTACTCATATGTATAATGGGAATAATAATAAACAGCCACCTATAATAGTTATGCTGAGTAAGACAGTTCAGATAAACTGCTAAATTAGCTCAGTGCCTGCCACACAGGAAAACAGTGAATGATAGCTATTATGATTACTATTAAGTTTCCTGTTTATTAAAATTTAATCCAAAATTGACTAAAATAAAAATCAAAATATCCAGCCTGGCCAACATAGTGAAAGCCCATCTCTACTAAAAATATAAAAATTAGCCAGGTGTGGTGGCCACACGCCTGTAATCCCAGCTACTCGGGAAGCGGAGGTGGGAGAATCGCTTGAACCTCAGAGGCAGAGATTACAGTGAGCCGAGACCATGTCATTGCATTCCAGCCTGGGTGACAGAGTAACACTCTGTCTCAAAAAAAAAAAAAAATCAAAATATCAATTTCTTTCTCTGATAGAATACTCACCTTTGCTATTTGTTCAGCAAAATGTATAGCTGTTTGCGTATGGAGTGTAACTGGTCCTGTTTTTATTCTGGAAACTCCATTGGCTAATGCCATGAAAACAATCAGCTATTTAAAAAAGAACAAAGAAAAATCTCACATATTTATTCACATTTGAAGTTCTAATTCCACTGCTGCCCATAATAAAAATACTACTAGAACTAAAATTTGCTTAAAAAAAATTTTCTACTTCTTTAGTTTTCCAGAAGTCCTCAGAAGATGAGAGAAAACCCATATTATCCTAAGTCTGTGAGTGTACAAAAAGGCTTGGGTAGCAGCTCTCAACATAAAATTTTTAAAATTAATATTCACAAGTAAAATACAGAACATTAATATATATACTTAGACCAAATATCTCCGCAAGTTGGTATATATAATACGGTGTTTATTCTACTCTCTAAAATTACATTTTAAGAGCTGAATAGATGGACTAATACTGGAAGTTTAAAGTAGACCTGGACAAGGAAGACTAGAAATAACAGAAACTGTCTTAAGGAACAGGTCAAGAAATCTTGAGGAATGTATTACTAAATGTGGACACTACTGATTTGGGATTAAGGAGACAAAAGTATGGTAGAAAGGAAAATCTGTAATGATACCAGACCATAAAAAAGGTATTTGGAAATATTCATTATCATTTCTCACTGTGAGTGAACGTGCTAAGTCTGAGAGGTCTGTGACAGGTCCAAGTGGAGGTGTTGACAGGCACGGGAGATATAACAAGTAAGGAGTTAAGGAGAAAAGCCTGGGCTAAGGATATAAATGTGGAAACTGTCAGCATAAAGATGATACGTAAGCCATGAGACTGGACAAACTAAGAAAGGAAGTAACTCAGAAAAAGAAAACAAGCATAAGCTGAAGTCCAGGGGCTTATCAAAATTTAGAAGTTGGCTGGGCACAGTGGCTCATGCCCTTAATCCCAAAACTGTGGGAGGCCAAAGTGGGAGGATCACCTGGGCGCCAGACTTTAAGATCCGCCTGGTCAACATACTGAGAACTCATCTCTATAAAAAGTAAAAAAAAAAGTTTTGAATTAGCTAGGCATGATAGCATGTGCCTGTAGGCCTAGCTAGTCAGGAGGCTGAGACAGGAGGATCACTTGAGGCCAGGAGTTTGAGACCAGTCTGGGCAATACAGCAAGACTCTGTCTCTACCAAAAAAAGAAAAAAAAAAAAAAGTTGTCAAAAAGATGAAAACAATAAACTAGCAAAGGAGACTAGAATGTATGGCCAGTGAGGTAAGATAACAGTATTTTAGAAACCGAGGGAAGACAAGACTTCAAGAAGTAAGGGGTGATCAATTGTGCAAAATGCTGTAGACAGGTCAAGTAAAATGAGGGCTGAAATTTGAGGAATACAAATTCCAGAATGTTTTTTAAAAATCTTGAAGTAGGACTTGTTAATTAGTGTCTGAAAGTCAATTATTAAAATTGATATTCAATCTAATTACTACACATTCAAATCTAACAGTTTAGAGGGTTTTTAACCTAAATGTGTCATTACCTGGTCTTGCAGATACTCATCCACAGTACCACCATGTCTAAGATTTGCTAATAGCATTTCAGCAGCTTCAATTCCAACTTTGTCTGCATTTACACCTTAAGATAAGCACAACATAAAAAAAAAACAGAAACCTAAATTAATTACTAAGAGACAAAAAGTTTGATATATCCAGTTAGCACTGGAATACAACTTTAAGGCCTCTGACGCACTCAATGCACCTTTTAGAGTTTTTAGTTATTTAATATTCTGAGTGTTTGGGATATGCAAATGTCTTATACCTTTAAATATACTAGTGGAGGAAAATATAGGCTGCATTGGTCCTATTTAAAATGTATTAATTTATAAAGCCAGTTTACAAAGAAGTTACGACCCTATAATGCTATGCCTCAATTTCAAATTTAAAACTTGCAGGCAGGCATGGTGGCTCATGCCTGTAATCCCAGGACTTTGGGAAGCTTGAGGTGTGAGGATCACTGGAGGCCAGGAGTTCGAGGCTGGCCTGGGCAACATAGAGAGATGCCATCTACCAAACAAACAAAGAAACAAACAAACTCCCTTTCCAAATCTCAGAAAAGCATGCGTGTTACAATTAGTCTGTAGGTAATTCCATCAGAATTAAAGAGTTTGGCTGGGTGCAGTGGCTCATGCCAGTAATCCCAGTGCTTTGGGAGGCCGAAGCAGGTGGATCACTTGAGGTCAGGAGTTTGAGACCAGCCTGGCCAACATGGCAAAACCCTGTCTCTACTAAAAATGCCAAAATTAGCATGGTGGTGCATGCCTGTAATGCCGACTACTCAGCAGGTTGAGGCAAGAGAATCACTTGAACCTGGGAGGTGGAGGCTGCAGTGAGCCGAGATTGTGCTACTGCACTCTAGCCTAGGTGACAGAGTGAGACTCTGTCTCAAAATAAAAAATAAAAAAATAATTAAAAGTCAGGAAATTACATTTTATGTAAGAAAGAGCATATAACATTATCAGATCAAATATTTTAGTTTTACTTCCTCTAAGATTTGAACAGGTATTAGCTTATTTTAAATATAAGTCAGAATATTTACCCTCTTGCCCTACTTCCTGTCTCTCCATACATATCCCAAATCTTTGGTACAACACCGAATACAAACCAAGTCTGTCAGAAATAGTAGAATGCCACATTATTATTTTAAGGTATTTAAAATAAAAAATTTTTGGCTGCAAATTAAAACCTCTTATAAAAATTGAAAATGTGGTTTTGTTTTATATTTGCAAATTTACTTGAATATATAATTTGCTTGATTTAGAATTCTAACTCTATTTTTCTTTGTTTTTCTTGTTTTCTTTTCTTCCTTTTTTTAAGAGACGAGGTCTCACTATGTTGCCCAGACTGGTCTCAAACTCCTGAACTCAAGTGATCTTCCTGCTTCAACCACCCAAAGTGTTAGAATTCCAGGCAGGAGCCACCACACCCAAGAACTCTATTTTTCTTTACAGTGGTCATAATAATATTTATATTATCAATTGTTCAAGTATTTATGTGACTAAATGAAATGGTTTGAACCATGAGCTATGAATCTTGACTTCTTGTTAGCCACTGCCATTTCCTCTTCTAGAAGATGGAGATGATAATAATAACTATGCTGCAAAGTTCTTATAAAAATTAGAGATAATATTTATAAAATATCTCTTACCCAGACTAGTACATAAAAAGCTATTAATAATAACACGGGTTGAGTACCCCTTATCCAAAATGTTTGGGACTGGGAAGTTTCAGATTTTGGATTTTTAAAAATTTTTGGAGTATTTGGGCCAGGCAAATTTTGGAGAATTTGGGTTCATGCCTGTAATCCCAGCAGGTTGGGAGGCTGAGGTGGACAGATCACTCGAGATAAGGAATTTGAGACCAGCTTGGCCAACGTGGTGAAATCCCATCTCTCCTGAAAATACAAAAATTAGCCTGGCATGGTTGTGGGCAATTGTAGTTTTAGCTACTCGGGAGGCTGAGGCATAAGAATCTCTTGAACCTGCAAGACAGAGGTTGTGGTGAACCGAGGTCATACCATTGCACTCCAGCCTGGGTGACACAAGAGATTCTCTATCAAAATTAAAAGAAAAAAAAAGGAATATTTGGATATACATAATGAGATAGCCTGGGGATGGGTCCCAAGTCTACACATGAAATTCGGCTAGGCATGGCAGCTCACGCCTGTAATCCCAGCATTTTGGGAGGCAGAGGGAGGCAGATAGCTTGAGTACAGGAGTTCAGGACTAGCCTGGGCAAGATGGCAAAACTCTGTCTCTACCAAAATAGCCGGGCATGGTGGTGCACACTAATAGTTCCAGCTACTCGGGAGTCTGTGGCAAGAAGATCTCTTGAGCTCAGGAGGCAGAGCTTGCAGTGAGCCAAGATTGCACCACTGCACTCTAGCCTAAGTAAGAGTGAGAATCCCATCTCAATAAATACATAATAAACAAACATGAAATTCATTAATGTTTCATACATACTTTATACACATAGCTTGAAGGCAACCTCATACAATGTTTTAAATGATTCTGTGTATAAAACAGTTTTGTGGCATATTGGCACTTGAAAAGCTTCTGATTTGGGAACATTTCAGATTTCAGATTTTTGGATTAGGAATGCTCAACCTGTAGGAGTATTGCATACCCACTATTTACCTACCATGCTAAGTAACAGAAGCCAGATCCTTTGCTAAGGAGGCATTTAAAAAATACACATATATTAGAGAATTAGAGGATAATTAAGTGCTAACTCCATGGTTAGCACTTAATTTTCTGAACCGGAGTTCAGAAAAGTAAGAGACTAAATAGGTTCTAGAATAATCTGAAGTTTCATAAAGTATGAAGGACTTAAGTGAGTCCTTGAAAAACAGCTAAAATTGGGATGGAGGATGTAAAGGAAAAGGAAAGAACGTCTCGGTTTGTAGTACTAGAAAACAGCAGTCCTACTAAAGTCTTCTGCCATGTAGCAAAGAATTCCTCAGCACCATTTATACTCCTTTCTACACAGCGACCTTGATAGTAACAGCATGAACTAATACATTACTGCCATTACTAGCAGTCTGTAGCATCTGAACTTAATACAGAAAATATGAGGATCTTTCTTATTAGTATTATATACCCCAAAAGCAAAATCTGAATTTCTTCTGAAATACTAATGCTTCTAACTAACTGCCAATCTTCTGACATTTTGGATGTTTTTAAACAAAGGTCTCAAGGACTTCTTTTGGGACATCAGAGAGATGCCACGAGGCTGGCCCAATGGCTCATGCCTGTAATCCCAGCACCTTGGGAGGCAGATCACTTGAGGTCAGGAGTTTGAGACCAGCCTGGCAAACACTGTGAAACCCTGTCTCTACTAAGAATAGAAAAGCTAGTTGGGCGCAGTGGCATATGCTTGTAATCCCAGCTACCTGGGAGGATGAGGTGGATGATTGCTTGAACCCAGGAGGCAGAGGTTTCAGTGAGCCAAGACTGCTCCACTGCACTCCAGCCTGGGCAACCCAGCAAGATCCCATCTAAAAACAGAAACAAACAAGCAAACAAACAAAAAACAGTGAGATGCCCTGAATTACCACATACACTGAGGGAGGGAAGAAAGGTGCTTGCTTATGAGGCAATTTCTATACAAAGAAAATAGAGATTGATTAACGAGAGGCACAATTCATTTTAGCAGATTATTTTGCTCTCAGAGTAAAGAATATAACTGCAAGACAAGAGTAATGAAAGATCACACAGATATTCAACAATGGAAAGACAAAACATATTCTGTCTATAAGGCAATCACCTAAAGTTGGAAAGGATCATAGATCATGATCGTGGTCCAGTATCATTTTTCAGATAAAGAAAGCCCAGTCACTATGCATGATAATGGCAGGACATGGGTCTAAAATTTAGTTCTCCTCACTCTCCGTTTAGTGCTATCATAACACACTGCCTCAATCTAAAACAGCAAGATTTTCTCAGACAAAACAAAACCTCACCTTTTTAAAACAAAACTGAAGAATGTTGTAGCTAGAAAGATTTTAGAGATTCTCCAGGCTAATCTTCTTGCTCAAGAAATAAGGAAACTAAGATCAAAATAGTTTTGGTAACTGAGACAATGATAAAGGCATTTAGTTACAACTTCCTGCCTCTACCCACCTATGGTGGTATTGACAAGCAGCCAATGTTCCTTATGGTGATAACTCTAAGACCTTAGGATTCAAGGTCCAGTAGTTTTGTTTTCTTTTGTTTTTTGAGACAGGGTATTGCTCTGTCACCCAGACTAAAGTGCAGTGGCATGATCTCGGCTCCCTGTAACCTCCACCTCCTGGGCTCAAGTGATCTTCCCGCCTCCTGCCTCAGCCTTTGGAGTAGCTGGGACTACAAGCACATGCCACCATGCTCAGGCAATTTTTGTATTTTTTGTAGAGATAGGCTTTTGCCATGTTACCCAGATTGGTCTTGAGCACTTGGGCCCAAGTGATCTGCTCACCTTGGCCTCCCAAAGAGCTGGGATTACAGGTATGAGCTACCCTACCCAGCCCCTAAATCCGGTAGTTTGCTAGTTAATTTAAATCAGAAATGAAAGGGGATCTGGATAATGGAGGTCATGACATTCTCTCTGAGAGCCTTAATATATAGACAAGCTAGACTGAGAGGACCACAAGTCACTTTTGCATTTGCTAACAACATCTCATTTGACTGATATGCACGATAAGAAACAAGGAAGGATACCAGCAGGAGTCAGTCAATCTCAGCAAGCATGTTGCTCTCTCTTCTATTCTCTCCTACCACCTTAAGTCTAAAAATAAGTACTGTGCACTCTACAAGTGTTTTATCCAAAGACAACTTCAAAGTACAAGTTGTTTCATGTGACAAAGTGAGAAAAAAAATGCTAACAAAGTATCAGAAAAAATTTTTCAGGCCTCGTAAAAAAATTCCATTTATTACTGATAATGACCATTTTACAATCAATCTCAATGCAGCACATCTAAAATTATCACCTACCTGGCAAACTAACTCTGCCCCGTATATTCTCATATTCAGTTACCTAAGTCAGACATCTAGGTCATTCTTTACACTGCCTTCCTCACTTCCAGTATTCAACTGGCCACCAAATATTGTCCATTCACCTTTGCAGATGCCCTTTTATCAGTATTCACCTCTCTATCCCAGCATTCCTTGCTTGGTGCAGGCCCTCACCATTCTGACCTGAATTGTAATAAACTCTTATCTTCCTGCCTCCAGTATGGCTTTCTTCTAATTCTCTAAACTACCTTTCAAAAAATCTTGTATCACATCCCTCCTTAAAAACTTTGTATTTCAGGATGAAATGTAAACTCCTAGATATAACCTATAGCCTTTCAGAATCTGGCCTGTCGACCTTTCTGTTGTCATCTCTCTCCATTCCCCTACCCAGACCTACCTATATACCTACCTACCTACCTACCTACCTATCTATACACTTGCAGTTGCTCACTCAAATACAGACCACTGTTTTTGGTTTTTGTTTTGAGACAGGGTCTCACTCTGTTACCCAAGCTGGAATGCAGTGGTGCAATCATAGCTCACTGCAGGCTTGAACTTCTTAGGTTCAAGCAATCCTGCTGCTTCAGCCTCCTAAGCAGCTGAGACTATAGGTGTGAGCCACCATGTGGGGCTAATTTAAAGAAAAACTTTTTTAAGAGATGGGATCTTGCCATGTTGGCCAGGCTGTTGTCAAACTCCTGGCTCAAGCAATCATCCTGCTTCAGCCTCCCAAGTAGCTTGGACTACAGCTGCATGCCCCCTCACCCAGAATACTTTTTATGTCAAATTACTTTGTCCTTCCTCCTTAGCTCTTACTTTTTTCTATCCAGCTAACTTCTTTACCCACAGAACCTGCTGAAGGACCATTAAATGGCAGAAGCCAGATTTGGGGTCAATTAGTCCCCAGAAGGATTCACTTTTCTTCTATGTTCCTATGGTACCCTGGGGATACCACTATCATAGAACTGGTCTGTTTCCTCTGCCAGAATAAGCCAGGAGGCAGGAATCATAGCTGTTGCTTCTGAATCCCTAGTACACGGTACCCAGCACATTGTGGTAACCAGTAATATAAACAAACTCACACTTCTCCCAATGCCTGCTAAGTACTCGTTACTTGTGATATGTCTGCTCCTACTCTCCATTTTATATTTGTATTCTCTTTGCTTCTAAAGACTGTTGTAGACAGTGGATGGAGTGGCTCAATATCCACACTGCACCTAATACATATTTAGTATAAACTAAATATATATTTTAGATCACTATTTCTCAAACTTCAGTATACATTAAAAGTACCTGGAGAGTTTGTTAAAATGGATTCCTGGGCCCCGCTCCCACAGATTTTAATTCAATACGTCTGAGGTAGGCCCCAAAATCTGTATTTCTAATAAACTCCCAGTTGATGCTGACAAGTTTTGCCTGTCTGCCAACCACATTTTGAATAGCACAGTTTTAGACATAATTCATTTATGTGAGTTCAACTGGAAATGGTGATTTTATTTATTCTCTTGACCAGATTTGATGACCAACTAGTTCTAGATTTCCCAATTGAGCAAACTGAAGAATTCCTAAGTTTTTTTTTTTTGTATTCTGTAGTAACAATGTGGCTAAACAGCATAGCTAGGGTAAACATTTTTATTTATTTATTTTGCAAAGATACAGTCTCACGACATTGCCCAGGGTAGTCCTGAACTCCTGGTCTCAGTGATCCTCCCACCTCAGCCTCCCAAAGTGCTGGGATTACAGGTGCATACCACCATGTTCAGCTTGGTAAGCATTTTTAAAGATGCTACAAAGTAGGAATAAAGCAATCAATGACCACAAAAACAACTAGTTCACCTAAAAGTTGCCTGGTTGGTAAAAGTAACTTTAAATACTAACAAACAGATGCATGTATGTATCTTCTCTCTCTAATATGCCAAGCCTTAAACAAATTTCCCCTTCACAAAATTATTCAAAATTTGAAGTCACCAATGAAATAACTGATCCAGAGAAGAATCATCAATAGATGTTAAAACCACTAGATAATCAGATGGCCTCAAATTATTATTTTGGATCACTAGTTTATTATAAAGGTAAAAAGAACCTTTATAGCAGACAGATCTGGAGGACATACCTCCTTATGCAGGTGATCACACTGAACCTCACAAATAAAGGAGAAACTAACATATGCCCCCTGCCATGACACAGTGGAATGTACACAGAATCACCTATGTAGCATTCTTAATAAAAATGTTTAATCTGAATATATCATGAGACATTCAGACCAATTTAAATTGTGGGAAATTCTGTGAGAAAATGGCCTAGACTCTTAAAAATGTCAATATCATGAAACGAACAAAAAAAGGTAATGGGAGTATTCTGTATTAAAAGAGTGAATAAATAGACTTGAAAAACAAATGCTATGTGCTCCCCCTCCAAAAAAAAATCCCACACTGCTCTAAATATTATTTTGGAAATAATTCATTATGTATGAAGCTACCTGGTGTGTCAGAATATAAGAAATTCTTCAGGTATAAAAATGTTATTATGATTATATAGTTATTGTTCACTGGACATACATGCTGTAGTACTCAGGGGTTAGACAAGGCACTTGCAACTTACATTGAAATGGTTCAGAAATATACACAACGAACTAAGTGTTCATAACTAGTGAATCTAGGAGAAGATTGTATGGATAACTAGTTGAACTAGTCATTCAACTTTTCCACGGCTTTGACATTTTCCAAAGTATAAAGGTAGGAGAAAGACTGAAAGTCTGAAAGTATAATTGACTCAAAAGAGAATCAATTAACTACATCCTTTTAAGCTTGTCATCCTCATTCTATAACATTCCAATCCTGACAGATTAAAGAATTTTGCAGTAGCACTGGTAACTATGGACCTCCTTCATTTATCTTACCTCGTTTACCCAGCGATGATCCAGCAAACAAACAACCAGTAGAGGTCTCAGCAATAATTCTATGGAAGAAAAAAAGTTATTACTACCTTTACTGTAAATATTCTAAATTTATGCAAATACAACACAAGAGAACAGTGACTATTAAATAGGCAGAACTAAATCTGGATAGCAAACTGCAAAAGTAAAAATTCTTCATATAGAGTGGCGTGATTAACATACTCTATCTTAATCAGACCACTAGTATCCTTTACCACTTGACCAGGAGAAGTCTTATCAGATTCTAATTCGCAGGTAAGAAATGTCTACCATGCACCCCAACAAGCTGCCATGTCATCAGCACTAAGCGGTACCATTTCACAGGCACAGAGTATTATAAAGGGTTCCAGAATTATCTTAAATTAAAAAAAGGTCATTATGCAAGACTTAGGTATTGTTCTATGGTTTTTAGATAGTTTTATAAGTAGAGCAAGAATTCACTTTAAACCTTTTAATGGAAATTCTGAATGAGAGGGTTTGAAATTTAAATATTCACAAATGGTACTTTTATATTTCAAAAACATCAGTTAAAGAATTTGTAGTAATACTTAAATCTATAACTCCTAACTGGATTAACATAATAGTCTGTTTTTAAAGAGCTCTTTGCTATATTTAATACTTCCTTGTGAACTGATTGCACATTTGAAGTATTTTATACAACTGGAAATATTCTCATAGGACTAGCTTTAAAGCCTAACTTCTGATGAGCTTAACCATTTAAGTTCACCATACAAGAGAAAGGAATCTTATAATGTAACAAAAGGCAAGCCATTCTCAGAAAAAATTCAGAATAATTATCTTAATTTATCATATTGATGTTTTAGGTAGGAATATCCTTAAAAATACAAACTGAAACTTCTTCAAACCATAAACTTAAGCAAGAAACCCTACAAATCTTTATTTTAATGAGATAATTATTTCAGGGCTTTCAACTAGTGTGTAGGGAAGAGTACTGTCTCACATTATTCCACTTCCATTGCCAAATGCTTGGTCTTTAGGTTCCTGCACAGGCTGGATGTTAACATACAAATCCCTGATCTCCTTTCTGATGCATCTAACTGCTGCCGCCGCCATATCTTTTGCTACCTATTTTGGCAAGACAGAAAAATAGAGTAAAATAATTACTGATTATTTGGAAAATTGTTTTCAAGACTTCAAAGACACATAAAATAATTGGTAATTTTCACATGCATTATTTTATAACTTAATTTTTCAAGAGAGAACACTGAATTTTTAAAAATGCTTATGCAAATTAACTTTATTTTCATTAATTAATGTATTCATTTATATATATATATATAATCTTTTATTTTAGGTTCGGAAGGTACACGTGCAGGTTTGTTACACGGGTAAATTACACGCTGCTGAGATCTGGTATATGAATGATCCCGTCACCTAGGTAGTGAACACAGTACCTGACAGTGTTTCAACCCTCACCCGGCTTCCACCTTCCTCCCATTAGCAGTCCCCAGTGTTTACTCTTCCATTCTTTATGTCCACACGTGTTCAATGTGTAGCTTCCACTTATGAGAACATGTGGTATTCGGTTTTCTGTTCCTACAATAATTTGCTTAGGACAATGACCTCCAGCTATATCCATATTGCCACGGAATATGATTTCTTTCTTTAAAAAAATGTTTTCTCAATAATATCAAAATTTAGTTGACATAATACTTACAAAGAGATACATACATTTTTATTTCTAAGAACATGTAAACAACTTACTTTAAATGGCAAAACACCAGCAACAAAAGCTCTTCCATATATCTTAGTCACATAGCCACGGTCAGTTAAATTTATAGGGTTCAATTGTTTAACTGGTGACACTCGAACAATCACTTCACCACCCCCTTTCGGGTAATATCCCCTATGAAAAGTATAACAAATGCCCACATAAACTGCATGATAAAAATAAAGCTCTATATTACAACAAAATGACATGGCAATGATATCCAAACATGTAATCCATGGAAAGGTCTAAATATTTTACGTCGGTATTTCACAAAATTTTACACATTAAAAAAACTGTCTGTACTGTACAATATGGTAGTCTTAAGATGTATGAAACTATTAAAATTAAATAAAATTTAAAAACTAGCTCTCCAGCTGCACTAGCCACATTTTAAGTGCTCAACAGTCACATGTGGCTAGTGACTACCACATTGGACAGCATAGATATGGAACATTTCCCTCAATTTGTAAAGTTCTATTCGACAGTGCTATTGAATATAATAAGCTCCTTGAGGGCTAGACTCACCTATATTGTTCCTGCTATTTTTCTGTGCTTAAAACAACATCTGGCACATCGTAAGTACTCAAATAAATATATGATAAATATTTAAGTAGCAAAACACTAAAAAAGTTTTTTTTTTTTTTTTTTGAGACGGAGTTTCGCTCTCGTTACTCAGGCTGGAGTGCAACGGCGCGATGTCAGCTCACTGCAACCTCCGCCTCCTGGGTTCAGGCAATTCTCCTGCCTCAGCCTCCTGAGTAGCTGGGATTACAGCCACGTGCCACCATGCCCAGCTAATTTTTTGTATTTTTAGTAGAGACAGGTTACACCATGTTGACCAGGATGGTCTCAATCTCCTGACCTCGTGACCCACCTGCCTCAGCCTCCCAAAGTGCTAGGATTACAGGCGTGAGCCACCACACCCGGCCAAAAGTTTTAATTCAATTAATTGGTGTCATTTATTCTACATCAGATGGTGAGAAGACAGTACTTCTCCCCTCAAAGGGCTCACCATCTGGTAGGAAGATGGCTCCATGAACTATCTACTAGAATACAACTCAGGCTATAAGAAAGGGTACAACATAGTGCAAATATGAGTTCTGATTGAGGCACAATCAGAGTTGATAAAGAATTACAAGATTCATCTTGGAAAAAAAAACATAGGATTTCTAGCTTTTGGGAGAGCAGGGGAAGAATAACATGAACAAAGACACTTAAGTCCAAAGGCACAAAGCATATTTAAGGAATAACAAGCAATCATATTGTTAGAACACATAACACGGCGAGAGGAGGAGAGGAATGAAGAAGTTAGAAAAGTAAGTTAGTGCAAGACTTCAAAGCACTTAAATGCCATGCCAAAAAATATGGCCTAGTTATTGTGTGGTAGAACTGAAGCCTTAAAGAGAAATAACCTGAATGCCCAATAGTTTCTTAGGAAAAGACCTCTGACAGCATTGTGGAAGACAATCCCTTTTATGACCCCTTAGTGTCTAGTCCAGTTGTCTACACACAGTGAGCATTTAAGAGAATACAATAACATTAGCTATGAGGGTATCTCATTGTTAAAATTCCCTTGAAAAATATTTTCCCAAGAAATAAATAACTATCATGTGTAGCCACCCTGAAGTCCCTATGCCCCTGCTATTCGTTATTTTTAAGCATGAAGTACAATTACTTCTTACAAGAGATGTAATGTATTAAGTGGGTACCAGAAAAACAGTTCTCTAAGGGTCTAATTTTTCCACTATTTTTAGTATAAGTAATAGATTATAACATTTAAGAAATAAGCAACTTACCTTGTTTTAATGTCACAGTTAAATTTGAAACCAAATTTTTCAACAATTGGCTTGAAAACCTGAAAAAAATCAGTTTTTAATCATTGGGTTAATCAGCAATATTCACTACTTCAACAAGTGTATTTATTAAACCAAAGTGCTTTGCTGGCTGGTACTTGAGTGCTATAAGTAAATGGTGTCATATGAATATATAGGCTAGTTCCATTTTTTTTTCAAATGAAAAAACTGATATGTAGCTAAATTTAAAAGTTTAACATTTATTTAAACAGAGCTGTGCAAGTCTACCTAAAGAAAAAGATTGGAACTTAGGATACTTGATATCAGTGATTATTCTACAGCAAAGGCCAATACTTCCTAATGCATCTCAATGCAGTACATTATAAGAAATGAGGGGGTTTTAGTGAAGAGCATTCCATTCTGCTTTCTCAATTTTTTTTTTCTGTTTTTTTCTAACCTCTCTGATGCCTGGGAATCAATTTTTTATACAGTTGAAATCTCATTCCACAGACAATGCTTTAACATTAGAAACATAAGCATTTTCCTGACATCATAAAATTATTCCTAAATAATATCTGAATGACTGCATGGCATCCTAGCATAATTGACTTAACTGTTCTCCAAGTTTTCATTATTAGATGATATATATTATATAATGATAATTATAGTATATAATGCTTGGTTCAAATACCTTTAACATTTATCTTTAGCTGCATTTTGTGATACTGAATTAGGAGTAGTTTCCTTGAAGTGAAATAACTAGGTGAGGAGATAATAATTTTTATTGTATGTCCCATTGTACTGACTTTAAAAAGATTATACCCTATTAGAATGGCAATATTTCATAGAAAGATGGTTAAGCCTGAAGTCTAAGGCAACTCTTTGAGATCTGCTCTAGAGATCTACTTATTCCTCTGGGTTGTCTCCTATGTATACAGGAGGTATACATGTTATTAACCTGCTTTTTTTAAAAAAAGGTAGAAAAAAACTTAAAAAATAAAAACCTGAAAATATCAAGTGCTAGGAAGGATACAGAACAGCTGGAACCCTCTATCTGGTATCTATTTTTATTTTAGAGATGGGGTCTCACTATGTTACCCAGGCTAGACTCAGACTTCTAAGCTCAAGAGATCCTCCCACCTCAGCCTACCAAGTATTAAATAGCTGGGACTATAGGCACACACCACAGTGCCTGCTTCAGTTGGAACTCTCATATATCATTTTGAAAGCCAAAACAACTTGGCTATTTATTATAAAGTTAGACATTTGCTTATTATAACAACCCAGCAATACTACTATTTACCCAAAAGAAATGAAAATGTACAATCATACAAAAACTTGTATATAAATGTTAACAGTAACTTAATTTATAATTACCAAAATCTGGAAACACCCAAATGCCCTTCAACAGATGAATGGCTAGGCAAACTGGTACGTACATATTCCAGAACACAACTTAAGTTTTCATTGCAGACATAAGCAACAAGGATGAATCTCAAATGTATTACAGTGAGCAAAAAACCCAGATTCAAAGCCTACATAGAGCATTATTCCTGATATGACATTCTGAACAAAAGGCAAAACTAGGGCAAAAAACAGATCAGCAGTTGCCAGGGGCTGAGGTTCAGGACTGATTACAAAAAGGGATAAGGGAACTTTTTAGAGTAATGGAACTATTCTATATCTTGATTGTGGTAGATGGTTCATAACTATGAATCACTCTCAAACATCACAGAACTGTACGTTAAGAAGGGTGGATTCAATTGAAAATAATGATACTTTAATAAATCTGGATGAAGAAAAGATTATACCATTTTTTCTCCCACTAGTTATATGAGAATGCTATGATTTTTTTATAATTTTTAAACGTTTGATCCTAAAATGGAAGGGGCTTAATGGAAAAAAAAAAAAGTCTGAGTTTTCCTCTAAATCATAATTCCTGTATTTATAAAATAACATATCACAATTGATATAATTTGTATCACACTCAAAGTGTGTGTTTTTTTGTTTGTTTTTTTAAAGACAGGGTCTCGCTTTATCATCCAGACTGGAGTGCCAACATAGCTCACGGCAGACATGACTTCCCAGGCTCAAGTGATCCTCCCACCTCAGCATCCTGAGTAGCTTGAATAGGTGTGCACCACCATGCCTGGCTAATTTTCCTGTGTGTGTGTGTGTGTGTGTGTGTGTGTGTGTGTGTGTGTGTGTGTATTTGTTTATTTTTGCAAAGATGGGATTTCACCATGTTGCTCGGGCTGGTCTTGAACTCCTGAGCTCAAGTGATCTGCCTACTTTAGCCTCCCAGAGTGCTAGGATTACAGGCATGAGCCACCATGCCTGGCCCTACACTTGAGGTTTTTTTAAACAATTCACTGTAAACACTATTCTAAGATAAAACAACAAACTTAAAGGAGACGTAATTCCCCACCCTCTACTGCAATAGAACTAGACACATTTGGGAGGCGGAGGTGGGAGGATCCTTTGAGCTCAGGAGTTCAAGACCAGCATGGGCAACACAGTGAGACCTTGTCTCTACAAAAAATAAAAAAAAAATTGGCTGAGTGTGTGCCTGTAGTCCCAGCTACTCAGGAGGCCAAGGCAGGAGGATTGCTTGAGCCCAGGAGGTTGAGTCTGCAATGAGCCATGATCATGCAACTGTACTCCAGACTGGGCAACAACACTATCCCAAAAAATGAAAAGAAAAGAAATGAAACGGGCCAGATGCAGTGGCTCAAGCCTGTAATCCCAGATTACAGGGAGCACATTGGGAGGCTGAATTGGGTGGATCACAAGGTCAGGAGTTCAAGACCAGTCTGGCCAAGATGGTAAAACCCCTGTCTCTACTAAAAATACAAAAAAAAATTAGCAGGGCACAGTGGCGGGCACCTGTAATCCCAGCTACTCGGGAGGCTGAGACAGGAGAATCACTTGAACCAGGGCAAGACTCCACCTCAACAACAAAAACGACAAAAAACACCATGAAGAGATAAACAAGAAAGTCACAAAACAAAACAAAACAAAACAGGATATATTTAAATAGAGAATTGAGACTCAGAAGCATGTTTGAGATCATCTCAGTTTGTCAACAACAAAAGCCCTTACCATCACTGTATAATCAATCTGTGGTGCCATTTCAGCATTAGTTCCACCTTTCAGATGAAGTTCTGATGATGAAGCAGCAAAGAGAACACATGGCATTGAGACCTGCATCAAGAGGCACACACTCCTAAGGAGAAGGCAGAAAAGGCTTATTTTCATTTTCTTTTCTGCTTTTTATTTTCAGACTCTTAAATAAGCTATATTACTGTTCATCACTACCAACTGAAGCACAGACAACTGTAAAGGCAGGTGTATGTCATTGAATTTCTAGTTAAAAGACATTTCAGTGTCTGAATAGTAAAATCCTGAATTTTAAAGAAAGACAGGAAAAAATAGCTTTAAATGATAAGCAAACCTGGGTCTGACTCTTCAACTAAACACATTAGCTGTGTGACCTTGGGTAAGTTCTGATACTTTTCTTTATATTACAAAAAAGTATAAAAGAAAAAAATTAAAAATAAAACCTTCTTCAGAAGTTTTACAAAAGGATTCTTGAAACTAGCAGTTTGTGAAAATGCTTTCAAAACAGTCAAGGTCTAGAAATACTGAATTGATTATACATGAGTTGCTACCATAAAACAAGGTACTGTTTCAGGTACGAAGATATAGTTAAGATATAGTTCCTATCATTGTGGAGTTCACAATATGATAGAATAATATTTTACACAGCCATAAAAGAGAATGAGTTCATGTCCTTTGCAGGGACATGGATGAAGCTGGAAACCATCATTCTTAGCAAACTAACACAGGAACAGAAAACCAAACATTGAATGTTCTCATTCATAAATGGAAATTGAACGAGAACACATTTGACACAGGGAGGGGAACATCACAGTAACATCACACGCCAGGGCCTGTCAGGGGGTGGGGGCAAAGGGAGGGAGAGAATTAGGACACATACTTAATGCATGCAGGGCTTAAAACCTAGATGACCAGTGCAGCAAACCACCATGGCACATGTATACCTATGTAACAAACCTGCATCCCCAGAACTTCAAGTATAGTAAAGAAACAAAAGAAGAAGAGAAAAGAAAAGAATAGTATTTTACAAAGACTGATAGCTTGGCCAGGTGCGGAGGCTCATGCCTGTATCCCAGCACTTTGGGAGACCGAGACGGAATGATCGCTTGAGCCCAGGAGTTTGAAACCAGTCTGGACAACATAGTGGGACTCCATGTCTACAAAAAAATTTAAAAATTAACCAGGCATGGTGGTGCACACCTGTAGTCTCAGCACTTTGGGAAGGTTGCCTGAATCCAAGAGATCGAGGCTACAGTGAGTCATAATGGTGCCACTGCACTCCGGCCTGGGAGACAAAAAAAAAAAAAAAAAAAAAAGACTGATAGCTAAATATTTCACGTGGAAAAGTGTTAGTGAAGTAATCCTTACTTTACTTGCTTGTTTGGTCCTTATAGGCAAATAATGTGAAAAATCACAAGAAATAGTTATATAACATGAATAATTTTATAAAGTGAAATATTTGATCATTTTCTTTTTTTTCTTTTTTGAGACAGGGTCTTCTGGCATCCAGGCTGGAGTGGAGTGGCACAATCTCGGCTCACTGCACCTTCCACCTCCGAGGCTTAAACCTTAGCCTCCGAAGTAGCTGGGACCACCAGCATGTGCCACCATGCCTAGGTAAGTTTTGTATTTTTTTTTTTGTAGAGACGGGGTTTCGCCATATTGCCCAGCCTGGTCGAAAATGCCTAAGCTCAAGCGATCCACCCACCTCGGCCTCCCAAAGTGCTGGGATTATACGCATGATCCACCACAACTGGCCTGGTCGTTTTCTAAATGAGCCATCATCTCCCTTTTCCAAAGTTAAGTGAAAGCAATCATATTAATAAGTAGTTTGAAAGGGAATCAAAATAGCCTCCTACCTACCAAATGATGGATCTTTATTTAACTCACTACACAATGACGCTTATGTATTGAACTGGGAAGTTCTCTATCAGTAATGATGAATTTCATTAATTCAATAAGTATTTATTGGCCAGGTATGGTAGCTCACACCTGTAATCTCAAAACTTTGGGAGGCCAACGTGAGTGGACTGTTGAGCTCAGGAATTCAAGACCAGCTGAAAAACATGGCAAAACCTTGTCTCTACAAAAAATAAAAAAATTAGCTGGGCATGGTGGTGTATGCCTATGGATGATACCAGCTACTCGGGAGGCTAAGGTGGGGGGACCCGTTGAGCCCAGGAGTTACAGCTTACAGTGAGCAGTGATTGCACTACTGCACCCCGGCCTGAGCAACAGAAGGATACCCTGTCTCAAAAAAAGAAAACATAAAAGTAGGAAAACAAGCTCATAGAAATTAAGCAACTTGCCCAGAACATGGTAAAACCTGGACTTAAGTTACTTAAATGGAATGTAAGTGATACATACCCTGCTGTCTTGGTATCTGCTGTGTGGATTCCACCTTTGATCTTCTCTGGTGTAAAGGTTATTTCTGTTGAGCCAATTTCTGCCCTCTCCAGTTGCCCATCACACAAGTCTCGAATCATTTCCAGTCCAGATAAATGTTGAGGCCTTCAGGTCATAATACTGCATCAAAACGTGTGCATTCAGACTGCCTATATCCCCACATTTTATGACAAATTTATAAAACTGCAATGGCAAGAAAACATCAAGATCTAACCATAGTAAGTGCCACACGTCTTCAGTGTCAACTTCCTTTTGGGTTTTTATGCACTTTGACTACCTGCTAGTAGTTATCATTTTAAGGCTTTCTTGCAGACCAGTTATTTGTGGCTATAAATACACATCCTGATATATTGTAGCAAATTAGAAGTGTGCAAAAGAAGAAAACTAATAGTTACTTTAGCACCACCAGTTTCCCTTGCACTTGACTGAATAATCTGTGGTGTCTGTATGGGCTGAACTATGTTCTCTCAAAATTCATATGCTGAGACCCTAACCCTCAGTATCTCAAAATGTGACTATATTTGGAGATAGATCCTTTAAAGAGATAATTAAGTTAAAATGAGGCCATTAATGTAGGCCCTTATACAATCTGACTGGTGACCTTATAAAAAGAGACTAGGATATACAGAGACACTAGGGGAAGGGTGCACAGAGGAACCACGATGTGAAGAGGCAAAAAGAGAGGCCTGGAGCAGATCCTTTTCTCATAACTCTCAGAGGAAACCAACCCTGTCAGGACCTTGATTGTGGACTGCCAGGCTCCAGAACTGTGAGGAAATAAATTTCTGTTGTTTAAGCCACCCTCTGTGTGTGGTATTTTGTTATGGCAGCCGTACAAACTAATACAACACCTACAGCCTAATGAGTTGGATTCCCCTGTTGGTGAACTGGAGGGCTGCAAACAACTATGACAAAGGCAATTAACATTAACATATATCAGCAATTGCCTTTCGGTAATTTCAAAACTGTAGATAAGAGACTGAGATCGCTGATTTATGAAAATGTAATAAATACAGAATACATACAAAGAAATCAGTGTGGCTTCAACCTGAGTCCTCTTCTAACAGGTGCATATAGCCGAAACTCAACTAGTGGCATGCCCAGCTACCCAGACAGACGAAATAAGGTCAAGTGTCAAGGTGTTTCCCTCTTCACAATAGATAATTCTAGTCGTAACAGCTCTCTGGAGGTATGAATGAAAGCTGGAATAACACATCTCAGGATCCTTTCCTGTTTTATAAATTCTAAAACTAGCGGCAGCACAGAATGCACTGGTTAAAAAACAAGGTTTCCTCTGGCCTCACAAGCATTTCTGCTCTACCTATCTTGCGCGCTCATACGTACTATTAAGATATTTGGAACGCCCGGTGGGGTGGGAAAACATTTTAAAAGATAGCTCTTTAGCAAATGGGACTATTTTAGCCAAATAGAGAAAACTCGAGACCATTTCTAAACTCACCCCCTCGAGGCTTTCAAGACCTTTACAACCCAGGCCACCGCCCAGGCAGAGCGTCCCGGCCCCGGATCCCCGCACCCCCCCCATCGCTGCAGCCGGGACCTTCTGGGTTCCACCACTCGTACTCCCGATGCCCCAGCCCAGCAGCCCGGCCGCTTGATCCCCTGATCCCCGGATCCCCAAACTCCCCGTCGCAATTCCCAGGCCAGCCAGATTTACCTCAGGCCTGGCGTGCTCCGGCCGGCTCGGATCTTCTGCACTCGCAAGGGGAGGCCCAGGAGACAGCTCAAGGACGTAGAGACTCTCAGGATTTGGCCGCCCTGCAAAGGGTGGGGTACAGGGAGAAGAGATGTAAGCACACCAGTGGTGAGAACTCCCCTCCCTAGTCTGGCTGCAGCCCCGGCCGCTTCGCTCTGCACTCACCCCTTCCATGATGCTGCCATCAACTTCCACCTGCGGCCCCGCCATGGGGGGCACCTTGGAGCCCAGCCCACAGCGACAAAGCCTCCGCCGGAGCAGGAGGAAGAAGAGACGTTGGCTCCCGCCCAGTAGTTCAGAAACCTCGGTTCACGCCTGGCGAGAAAGCGGAAGAAGCGACGCCTGTCGGGAAACCGGAGTCAGCAGAAAACCCCCGGCTCCCCCTGTTCTACGGCCAGTGCGCATGCGCATAGCTCGGCTTAAAGGCGCCACCCCGGGAAACCTGTTGTCCAGGCGAGGAAGGTTCCGGAGAGGTGGGATGGTGGTCGCCGAGGTGCCCAGGATGCCTGACAGACTTGTGCCTTGGACACAGCAAAATCTGCAGGTTGCAGAAAGTTTCAACTGTAACCACATCCTCCAGTTATCCTGCAGGCTTGTGCTTTATCTTTGTTTTGTGGGTAAATATGTGTTTCTGTTTTCTCGAAGATCCTGGCATACCCCGAGGTGCCGACTTTCAGAGCTGAAGATGCAAGAAAGATCCAGACCCTGTGATGCACCGACCACCATCTCTCTGGTTGGATTTGCCTTCACTGTGCCTGTCTCTCGAAGTGTGTGCGCCCTGGTGCATTTATACTCTCAGCCTTTCGTTCCTCGCGGGGTGCGTGTTTGTGTGTGCGGAGAGTGTTATCTTTGTTTCTAGGGTGACACGCCATTTATTTGAGGGGCGGGCAAGGCAGAATCACTAGTTTAATACTTTGAAAGGCCAAAGTTATGCGATTTTGCTTGAGAATGAGTGCAAGTTCTTGACTCCGAGGCACAGTGCAGCTAACAATTCACCTCAGTCGAGGGCAGAAGCAACAGCCAGCTTCTCGGTTCTGCCTGGGGCTCAATTCCAACAAGACTAAGTACCAAATACTATGTAAGCCTCTAGGGAAGCAAGTTTGAGTAAGTCAGCTTCTAATCCCTTAAGTTATTGGAGGTATAATGGAGAGACTGAGACGTTATCAATTACAATGTCATCTTTGGTAATAATAACATGTACTGTATTTATCTTAACAGTTTATGGGGACAATTACAATATATTAATAATATCCTATAACAATAACAGGCAACATTTACTAAGCACTTAGGTATTGTGCACTGCATGCATTCACAACAGGATAAAGTGCTTACTGTTTTGACTGTTTTACAGCTTCCTGTGTTAAACAATTTGCTACAAATTCGCACAATTTTAACTAGAAAACTGGGATGTGAACCTGGGTGGTCTGATGTGAACACCACTGTCTGGTAATCCCAACACTGCTGCTTTTGCGACAGAGAATGTTTTGCGGAACACAGAGACTAGGTACTTAACCAAATCTGGAATTTGCCATAAGGTATTAATCAGGGAAGTAATCGTATTTGCATTTTTAGAATGAAGGCTTTGGTAGTATGAGGAGGGTGAATAAGAAGCTTAAGACCCTGAAGGGAGAAATGCCAATGATGCAATTTTCCAGCAAGAGATAATGAGAAGCTGAAGTAAGGCAATGATGGTAGCGATGAAATATGAAAAAGCTGTACTCCTGTCTGACATCTTAGATTCCTATTACAGAAACTTAACCTTCCCAGAAGAAGCCTTGCCTTTTTATGTCTAACTTTGGCTATTAATTCCTTGCTATGACCCATTTGTCCCATTCTGACTACTTCCAGGGGTAGGGAGAAAAGAACAAGATGGTGATATAATGTAGAGATGAGCAAATTGTGGTAATAATAAGCACTCGTATAGTGCTTTCATATACATGATCTGTCTTAATGTTCATTACAAAGCTGTGAGGTTGGTGTTCTCATCTCTCTTTGGTCAATGAGGGACTGAGGCCTTGGTAATTGAAGTGACATGCCAAGATGACAGAACAAGAAAGTGGCAGAGTTGGGTTAAATCCTGGGTTATTTTAATAACAAATGACAGTTAGACCAATGACAGAGTCCTCAATTGAACAATGGAAGTCAGAAAGACAGTAGAATTGTACCTTCAGAGTGCTGGCAGAAAATAACCATCAACTTAGAATTGGGCACAAAATTATCTTTCAAGAATTAAAGGAAAGTATAGAAATAAAATTATTTCCAGATACATGGAAACTGAGTTTAACATTTACCTATACTTTCTAAAGGATGTTCTAAAGGATATACTTCAGAAAGAAAAATTACTCCAGAAGAAGAGTCTGGAATAGAAGAAGTGATGAGTGAAAGAAACTCTAAACACATAGTTGAATCTAAGCAAACATTACCTAAAATAACACCAGACAACAAAAGTACGTAAGACAAGAGGGGAATGATAAAAGTTAAAGAATTCTAAGGTCTCTCTTTGTAATTAAGATGTCAATTAATACAGTTGACATAATTCAAGATTTAACATAAGTAGGTAAGGTAAAGTTTCAAGGGTAACCATGAAAGTGTGTAACTTCTAATCCAGCCAAAGGAAAAAATGGACTAACAAGAAAATACACATTAAGCAAAAACCTAATACCATAATCAGCATAAACAACAGAATGGAAAGAAAGCACTAAAGTAACAAAATAGAAATAAATTCATATATATCAATAGTAACAATGAAAGTAAATTTCCTAATGAAAAGCCAGAGATTGTTGGATGACACCTACCCACAAATTTAAAAAATTAAAAAGACAGAGACTGATCGAAAAAAAAAAAAAAATGCCATTAACAAGAGATGCACCAAAAACTTTGAGGATAATGAGGAGTTGAAAATAAAAAGATGGAAAAGATACACCACATAAATGCCAAAAAAAGAAAGCTGGTATACCTATATTGGTGACAAATTAGACTTTCAAACAAAAAGCACTATCATTGACCAAACAGAGTCACTACAAAATAATAAAAATTGCGGCCACCAGGAAAATAAGTTATTCAAACCTTTGTGTGTAATAAATAGCTTCAAAATATGTAAGTCAGACATTGAAGAAACTGGTAAATCCACTACTACCCTGAAAATTTAGCTCAATTATTTGTAGATCAAGCAAATGAAAATTTAGGAAAGACAAGAAATCTAATAAAACAGCTAATAAACTTGATCTAAGGATAATTATATATATACATAATTGGCCATATATATATATGTACATATAAAACCTTTAGGCCGGGCGCGGTGGCTCATGCCTGTAATCCAAGCACTTTGGAGGCCAAAGCGGGCAGATCACCTGAGGTCGGGAGTTCAAGACCAGCCTGACCAACATGACGAAACCCCATCTTAATAAATAAATAAATAATAAAACATTCAATTGTTATATATTACATGCTTTCCTCCAGAACTGATGAAAGTTTTATAAAGAATGACAAAGCTACGTGGGCCTGTAATCCTAACACTTTGGGAGGCCAAGGCAGGAGGATCACTTAAGCCCAGGAGTTCAGGACCAACCTGAGGAACATAGTGAGACCTCGTCTCTATAAAAATCACAAAAAAATTAGCTAGGTGTGGTGGCATGCACCTGTGGTTGCAGCTACTTGGGAGGCTAAGGCGAGAGGATCAGAAGCCCAGGAGGTTGAGGCTGCAGTGAACTGTGACCATGCCACTGCACTACAGCCTGGGTGACAGAGTGACACCCTGTCTCAAAAAAAAAAAAAAAAAAAAAGACAAAGCTATAAAGCAAGTCTCAAAAGACTCCAAAGATTTTGTATTATAAAGTTGATATCCCTGACCAAAAATTGTTAGAAATTAATTCTAAAAAAGATAACTAAAAAAAGAAACTAAAAAAACTAAATGTTTGGAAATGTATACTACTTCTGTATAATACGTGGATGAAATAGTAATAGAGAGTTATAAAAATATTTAAAGGTAAATGAGTGAAAGTTCTATGAATCAAAATCTATGGATTATAATGAAACTAGTATGTAATTAATAGAAGTTTATATCACTAAATATTTCTATTAGGAAAAGAGAAAGGCTAAGTGCAGTGGCTCATGTGCTTTGGGAGGCCAAGGTGGGCAGATCACTTGAGATCAGGGGTTCAAGACCAGCCTGGTCAACATGGGAAAACTTTTTTTTTTTAAATGGAGTCTTGCTCTGTTGTCCAAGCTGGAATGCAGTGGTGCAGTCTTGGCTCACTGCAACCTCTGCCTCCTGAGTAGCTGGGACTACAGGTATATGCCACCATGCCTTGCTAATTTTGTAGAGACGGGGTTTCACCATGTTGCTCAGGCTGGTGTCCTGGGCTCACTCCTGGGCTCAAGTAATTCTCCTGCCTCAGTCTCCCAAACTACTGCAATTACAGGTGTGAGCCACCACACCTGGCCCATTTTTATTTTTATCTTTAACAATGTCTGTCAACTGATGTGTATATAAACAAAAAATAAAGTATATCCCTACAATGAAGTATTGTTCAGCCATGAAAAAAATGAAGTACTGATACCATACATGCTGTAATATAGATGAACCTTGAAAACATAAGTGAAAGAAACTGAGTGAAGAAGCCAGTCACAAGAGATAACATATTGTATCATTCAATGTATATGAAATGTCTAGAATAAGCAAATTTATTGCTACTCAGACAATGTAAATTAGTGGTTGTCAAGGGCTATGGGGGTACATTCAGAATGGAAAGTGATCGCTAATGGGTATGAGGTTTATTTTGGCCGGGGGCGATGTAAATGTTCTGGAATTAGTGGTAATAGTTGCTATTTCAAATTGAGATAGCTTAAATTCACCCTTTTAAAGTATAAAATTTGGTGATTTTTGGTATATTTCAAATTTGTTAATTGAGATAGCAATCATGTTAAAAGAAAAGAAAGAAAAGACAGGTGAAGGAAATACAGAGGACTACCTTTAGGACCTTTGGATTGTAAGGTATTTCTTTTTTATTTTTTGAGACAGGGACTTGCTTTGTCACCCAGTCTGGAGTGCAGTGGTGCAATCATGGCTCACTGTAGCCTCAACCACCCAAGCTCGAGCGATCCTCCCATCTCAGCCTCTAGAGTAGCTGAGACTACAGACATGTGCCACCACACCTAGCTAATTTTTGTACTTTTTGTAGAGATGGGGTCTCGCCATGCTGCCCAGTCTGGTCTTGAACTCCTGGGCTCAAGTGATCCACCAACCTCAGCCTCCCAGAGTGTTGGGATTATAGGTGTAAGCTACTGCACCAGGTGGGATGTATTTCTCAAGACACAAAAAGCACTAACTATAAACAAAAGGTAAATACTTTGGGGCTGTGAACGGTGGCTCAGGCCTGAAATTCCAGCATTGTGGGAGGCCAAGGTAGG